CCCCCCCCCCCCCCGCCTTGCATCACTTAAACTTCCTGAGAATCACCACCTTCTGTAAAAGGAGAGAGTTCAGCCAAATACGCTCTAATGTGGCTTCCTTTCTACAGTGTTACCTCGAGGTGTTGTTACAGGTTGAATTGTGTCCCCTTCTTATTAGGAAATAGGGTCACTGCAGGTGTAATTAGTCCAGATGAGGTCAGACTGGAGTAGGGTGGGCCCTGGATCCAACATGACTGGTATCATAGCAAGATGAGGAGACAGACAAGGAGGGGAGAGCCCCGTGGGACTATGGAAGCAGAGCCTGGAGGGCTGCAGCTGGGCCAAGGAGCCCAGAGGCCACCACCAGAAACTAGGAAGAGGCGACGAAGGGTCCTCCCCTACAGGCTTCACAGGGGGCATGGTCCTGAGGACAGCTTGAGTTTGGACTTCTAGCTAGCGGAACTGTGAGAAAATAAATTTCAGTTCTTTTAAGCCACCCAGTTTGTGGCACATTGTTATAGCAGACCCAGGAAAGCAAGCAGCTGTCTCCTGTGTAGATTGTTGTCTTGTATTCACTCACTGCCTCGAGTATGACTTTTGTTCATCGACTAAATTGCAAGTCCTTAGAGCAGAGGAAAGAGGGAAGATCCCTTTATGTCTGAACACTTTCTTATCCCTTTGCACATGGTAGCATCTCTTCAATGGAACTGTCTGAACTGTGACCAAGACTTGGGTTATTCAATGTGGAGAACAAAGGGTCATTGCATATCTGGATGTCACAGGTCTCCCATCTTCAGAAACATAGAGGTTTATGGATGCACAGGATGGAGCCAGATGGGTTTCATTGTCTCTAAATTTGGAAACAGAGGCAAGAGGTCAAGGGGGTGGACTGAGTTCTTAGCTCAACTCTTAGCTAACAAATAACATGTTCCAACAGTACAGAACGTTGGACACTGGAGTTGGCAATGTTCCCTTTTCTAGAATTCCGTGGAAAAGGGGAGAGGCTCAGTTACCTGGAATGATTTTTCTGGGGCTCCAGCCTGAAGGCAACACAAGGTCCTTTTCCATTTTTGAATTCTCTGCTTTTCAAAGAGGAACTTTATGCAGTTATATTTCGAAAATGATCTGGCCACTTCTAAACACAGCAGTCTGTATTGACTGCTTATCACTAATGGAGCAGTTTCGAAGGACAGAACTGAGAGGGACAACCTGTGGCCTGATGACACCGCCTCACTTCTGTGCTCTCCTGAGTCTCTGCAGGACAGGGGCAAGGGCGTTCATCCTCCAATCATCCCACAGAGCCCGCCGTGATCCCCGGCACACAGACTTCTCTGGATGAATACACATAGCTCAGGGCGGCTTTATGGCTGACACAGCGGGAGCTCAGGGAGAAGTGACACAGCTATTCAGTGGCAGAAACGGAGCCCAAGACCCCACCTGTCAGTCCAAGATTGCCCAAGATTGCGTGTCCTCACCCTTGACACCTAGGAGCCCTGGTGCAGTTTCTGCATGACACTAGCTCATTTCTGATTCTGTGCAGGGTCATGGGACCCTGGTGAAATGACTTCAAACTGGAGGACTTTCCTTTTTGCCAGTTTCTAGTTATCGGACTTTGAACCTAATCCATCACGCTACAATGCTGGAGGGAAAAGCCTAATGATGGCAGCTCAATCGATACATGTTAAGATTTCCTGGGTCATCAAAATGCTCTGTCTTGGTGCATAATTCTCTGGGGCATTGATTTTCAGCCTCATTTCATCCGTTACTTGCAAAATTCCATGGAAGACTTGATTGGAAGGTTTTTCACGGCCTTGATTAGAATGTAAATGAGTTATGCTGGAGAGCCAAGCTCTCTGGACAGCAAGGTATAAATGATAATTGTGTTTCTCTGCTGAAATGCTAGGAAAGAAATCCTCAAAGAGATAGAAAAGCATTCTCCTGGGTAGGAGGCTAAATGTCTTCCAGGCACTGTTGATGTGATAAGTGGAGCTTAAATAGTGGAGCTTGTTATTTAAATGCTAATGAATCTTTTCCAGAAAATGACCCAGTCCCTTACATAAATTTTGAGGGTTCTTATTTTTATTCTTCCTTAAGTTTCCTGTAAGTACAGCTGTGGATCAGTTTTACTCCTGGCCTGGATGCTTGTGGAAGAGGGGGTCAGTTTGATATTATCACTTCCGGGACACAATTTCCTCAACTACCCAAACCCTCATCTGTGTTTCCTCCTGTCAAGCTCACCCACCAACGGTGGGGCAGAGACCTTGCCCCCCTCCATAGCCCCGTTTCCCACTGAGATGAACCTATCTGGAGAGTTCCATGGTCAAGTGGCACTATTCAAGCCAGAAGTCTTTTCAAGTCAACTTTGTTCATTCCCCTCCCCCTTTTTTTTTCTAGATGAGGACAGCTTTACCAGTGGCCTGATAATATTGGGAATATAGGTCATGATATTACTTTCCTTGAAATGCATTTCGTTCTGTTCTAAGCAAGCATCCTACAGGCAAAATTGTCCTTGTAGGTAGAATACTCAGGAGTTGACACATTTTTTAATAATCAGGTTTTTGGAACTGTTTGGTACCCGAATTGAACTTTTCTGTAGGATAGTTTCTGAGATAGCAGCTAAAATAAAAATGTTACTTGGATTCCACTCAGTGGCCTCCTTCGTAGACCTTCCTAGTTAATCCATTAACCAAATAAATGTTGGGGTTTACTGTCCCTGCATGGAAAGTATTTTATTTGGGTCCCCAGCATCTTAATATGAATAAAATCTAGTGATGAGGCATTATGCTTGCTAAACAACAAATGAATTAGGGGTAAGTGATATAAATAATTCTTGGCCTTTTCAGCATTGGGTCTGAACCTGAATTAAGCTTCTGCTCATTGAATCAAATTATTTTAATTATCCTGAACTTGGGATGAGAGGATTTGGTGGGTAATAAGGTCATAAAACATGCCATGTATATAATCGGCTTTCATTCCCTGCTGCTGGTTTTCATATCTTACAGATACTGAGGCCTTGGCTTTGCACGGTGAATTTACCAGTTGTCTCATAGACAGGGTGAGACGGGGAGCCTGAACATTCCTATCATTCAATGAACAAATACTTATCAAGGGCTTATCACACACCGGACTCTCTTCACTGACATCAGGTATTTTCCAGCAGTGTGTTGAGTACCATCCCGGGTAATAGAGTGTGCGTGTTTTTCAAATTCTCAACAAGAAAGATTCAATCCGTGTTGTAAGCTCTTCTTATTCAATATATATGTGAAGTCTATTTTGTCCCCAGCAGTCCTTACAGAAGCATCATCTCTGCTTAGAGGAGTGTGAAGGGGTTGAGAGTGGGGCTTCGGGGTGAGCGTCTCTTACTTTGGTCCAGCTTTACTACTCGCGGGCTGTGACCTCACTGGTGTGCCTGTTGCTTTCCTCTCTGGGACTGGTGGGTGACGACCTTGCCCACCATCAGTGCTGTTGTGAGACGTGTGTGACATTAACGAGCTACAGAACCACAGGCATGTGGGAGGCATCAATCAACCTGGGGCTTAGCCCATGACTCCTGAGTGACAAACACTTGACATGGGATGCAGTGTGCCCTGTTTAATGAAGATGGTGACGGGAGATTTGATGGGTTGACCAGGAAGGCTAGAGAGTTTGACAGGAAAAAAGCCGTGAAAAATCATAAAACTAGATGCTGGAGAATGCCCTTGATGCAGAAAGGTGCCCACTGGTAGTAACTGGTGAGCATGGGAACCATGTCCTATTTGTTTTCCAGTCCAGCCCTGTGTGGTGAATGCTTTTTGCAGGAATGAATAAATGATGATGGATGGATGACGTCCAGGTAAGCATGACAAAACAAACCCGGGTCAAATCTAACACTGATCACTTGACATGTCTTTGTACCCTTTGCACATTTGTAAGTAAAAAGTTTGGTTTAAGTTCTCCAAGGTGATGAACTCATTGGTAAGTTTCTGCAACGTGTCCCAGGGGGGCGGACTGTGTATGTGTGGAAAGAAACACTTCTAACTGGGTGAGGTGATACAGACACACAGCTGATCAGACGTCTCAGGAAAGGAGAACAAAGAGAGGGAAGAAACTGGTTGCCCGACTCCTGTTGAAAATACTAAACATCCTTTCTTTTCCATCCCCGTTACTCTGATTTCAAAACTTCTGACATAAGTATACATACGGTCGCTCAGTATCTAAATGTATTTACTGAAGGTCTACTGTGTGTTGGACCCTCTGGCAGCAGCTGGGGAGACCCAAGTGAACAGAGACCCAGCTTCCAAGTGTGTCCTAACCCACGGGAGAGACGGGGACACGAACAGAGCCGTGGACACAGCCATGGTATGTGTTTTCACATCTTGAAAGAGAGATACAGCAAATCATTGCGATTTCTCCCATCCTTGTAATAAGAATTTGTTGCAACTCTTTGGCAAACTAATGCAATGCTTAGAAACATAACTTCCACAGAACAGTCATGCTCATGTGCAAGCAACATATTTTAGATGTTCTTCTTAAAAATAAAAGTTTCCTACAACAACAACAAAATTAGAATAGAACAAGAATGTCTTTGGTAGTTGAGGAAATAGGCTATAAACCAATCTCTACAAATACGCCAGACTGCAGTGAGAGGAACCTGCCCCAGGGGACTGAGGGGATGCAGGTGTTACACCTGGGCCCAGGTGACAAGCTCTGGGTAAAAGAAGCAAGCAGAGGACTGGGCTGCAGAAAGCTCAAGGCGTTGGACTCCTGTGCTGATCTGCTGGGGGGGTGAGACACCCACCGTTTCTACTTCCAAATAAAAAAATACACTGCCTTTAATCCCTCATAATGTGGTTTTAGAGAAATACTTAATACAACAAAATGATCACAATGCAATATTACTCAGCCATAAAAAGCAACAAAATTCTGTCATTTGTAGAGATGTGGATAGACCTAGCATCTGTCATACAGAGTGAAGTAAGTCAGAAAGAGAAAAACAAATATTGTATATAAATGCATATATGTGGAATCTAGAAAAATGGTACAGATGAACCTATTTGCAGGGCAGGAATCGAGATGTAGACGTAGAGAACCGACATGTGGACACAGTAGGGGAAGGGAAGGGTGGCATGAACTGGGAGATTAGGTTTGACATATATACACTACCATGTGTAAATTAGCTAGCTAGAGGGAACCTGCTGTATAGCACAGGGAGCTCAGCTCGGTGCTCTGTGATGACCTAGGTGGGTGGGATGGGGGTACGGAGGGAGGTCCTAGAGGGAGGGGATGTATGTATACATATAGCTGATTCACTTCATTGTACAGCAGAAACCAACACAACATTGTAAAGCAACTATACTCCAATTAAAAAAAAAAATGATCCCGAAATCTTTACTAATGGAGAGCGTTCTGCAGATGCTAAATGAATAATTCTATTTTTTTGGAGCTAGAGACTGAGGAATGAATTTGTGTAGATTTTCCAAGTGTTTGTAAACACTATTTAATGAAGTTCATCACCAATGAAAGAAGCGTCTTTCCAGAAGCTGTAGCGGTTTGGTTTCTGTGGGCTCTGATCATCAGGCAATCCCTGGGCGAGCATCCCAACACCCTCAGAACGGGCTGCAGACGTGTGACACTGGCCTGTGAGGCCTGTAAAACCAGTCTGGCTGTGTCTCTGGCTCGTCCTATCCGCCTTCCCTGTCCCCATTCAGGTCCCACTTCTGTCCCCAACATGCTTTAGAGACTTTCCCGTACCACTCCTTCTGTCTGGCAGGCCGACTGACTCCTGCCTGGGACTCAGTGGAGGTCTTCCCCAAGCCTCACACGGAAGCAGCCCCTACCCTGGCCCCCACGCCCCTGGCCGACTCACCATCTCATCATTCTGTTCTATTTGTCCCTCGTACTTACTGATAAACACAACGCTTTTGCTCCTTGTTTCACATTTGACTTCCTCCACTCAGATGATGTGAATGTCTTTTTGCACCTTTCGAGGTACCCCAACCTTGGGCACTGGCCATATGTGAGGTAACACCTTCATGAATGCTTCTGAGTCTGAATGAAGGAATTCTTAAAGCTCCCGAACCGTGCCTACACCGTCAGAGCCATGAGGCCATGAGAGAGGGAGGCCGACACATCCCTTCCGCCAGCCTCCTGCCTGAGGTGAGTGAGAGACACTCACCTCTCACTCGTTAGGGCTTCTGCTTGTGACGCAGATGCACGTCTCTGTGGATATTCTGAAAGCCATCAAATCAGCCTTCCCTTGTTCTGGGGCTGACCCGGCAGCTAGAAGCTTCCCCGTGCTTTAGTTTCACTGCCTCCTGTCTGGCCTTGACTATTTACGACTAGCCTTTGTGCATCTCTCTGCCAGCTGAGCATTGGCAGGGAGCTGGAAATGCGGATTCTTTTCACCTGCTGTGCTGTGAGCCCGGCAGGTTTGAGGGCTCCTGCATGGCTGCGCTACTGTGGACACCTCCTCCCAGGCTCTACGTGACACACGCCTAACACTTGGGGGAGTGTTTCTCAATGAGGGGTACAGGCAACCAGCAACAGAATCACCCTAGATGGCCGTTATAATGCAGATTCCCAGGCCCCGCCATACACCAAGTGGATCTGAATCCCTGGGGGTGGAAGCCTGGAATGAGTATTTTAAACAGGCGCCCTGGGTAATTCTGATGCACACAGAAGACGGGGAGCCACTCACTGGGGAGTCTGTCTTGCTTCCTCTGCCTCTTTCCTATCCTGCTGCTAAGGTCTCCATTAACTTCCACTCTGATGGGGACAAAGGCCTGCTGAGGTCAAGGATCCACTGATAGAAGTCCCCTGGGTCTGTAATCTTTCCGGGGTTTAATAGCCATAGGTGGCTCAGAAAGCCATCAGTGCAGTGTCCTGAAGTAGCCAGGAGCAGGCCCAGACAGATCATGATGGAGAAGCCCACAGCTGGAGAGAATGTCAAGGACCTGGGAGCACCTTCTAAGAGCAAAGGTCTTAGTCCTGTGCACTCCTTTGCAAAGCTAATCCCCACTCGTGTCCCGCTCGTGTCTTCAGAATGTGCTAATGTCATCAGAGAAGGAAGGTCGTGAGGTTACACAGAGGGGAGGAATAAAAGACTCCTTCAGAATGTTCTTGCAAACGACTTTTCAAATGAATTTCAGTAACCGCTAGCATCGTTTTCCTGCATAGTACGATGCTACTTAGGAATCATCCAGTTTGCTTCAGGAAGCTCAGTGCATTTCACAAATGGCTTCCAAGGCAGACATTACAAAGAACAGCTATAAGCATTATAATATTTATTTTTCTAATTATAGCACTCTACTCGAAGAATGTAAACATTTTTTCAAAGAGAGTGATTAACGATTTAAAAGCTAGCATCAAAACTTTCAAAAAGATAATAATCGGGACATCAATTTCTCAGTCTTTAAAGAGATTTAGGAACAATTTAAATTATGAAGGAATAAGAATATCTAATTAATAAGCTCTAGATACATATTAGGGTATTTAATTTCACCACAGTAATTAATTTCCATATAATATGGATCCAAATCTTAATAACTAAACCAAACATAATCCCCAGATTAAGCAGAACTATATTCTTCTCAAATAGCGAGGTTCAGGAGAAAAGCATAAGCTCGGAGGACAGACGAACCCACAGCTGAATCTTGGTTTCACTACATAGTATGCGTACAACTTTGGGCTATTTCCCTAACTTCTCTGAGATTGTTTCCTCATCAGTAAAATGGGAGCTCTAATATCTACTGTATAAGTAGGTACCTGACAGGGCTGTTGCAAAGATAAGAGACTGATATCACCTTTCTATCCCAATCCTGGCACAGAGAAGATACTCACTAAGGTTAACTAACTTCTTTTCCTGTGTTGTCTAAAAAAAAAAAAAAATACCTGGACCTGAAATTTCTAACACTTTCTTAGCAAACCAATACCAAGAGTTATTGGCTTCAACCGATAGGATTTTAATAACAGCTCAGATCAAACAATACAAAGTCAGTGTCCCAATCAAAGATGTCATCATACGTACTGGCTCCTTAGGCACAGAGCTGAGAAACCCCACATTTCATCGCACAGCCATGGAGCACGAATGCATTCTCCGCACTGATAACACCCACAGAGTTTAAGTGATGTGTGACCACTCACTCGTTCCCGGCCGAGCGTCTGAAACATCCACCAAGGGCCCGGTGGCCTGCGACACTGACTGGTAATGGACCGTGTGTGTCACCGTCAGGGACTTTTGTTTCGCTGCCTCTCCGAAGTCAGCATCCGTCAACAGGACCGTGGAGCGATCATCTGCAGAACAGCAGGATACAGGAAGCCACGGACAGTTACCCCCTGCTCAGTGACTCCCTGGCCACCTCTCTCCTCGGTACTTGCATTATTGCTAATGGCAACAGTAACAAGAACCTCATCTCATCCAGCAAAAAAAAAAAAAGAAACCCAAAATATTCAACCACTGTATTAGAATTACTCCAGAATGAAAAAAATAGATTATCCTTAGGGGTTGACTTAGGAGCATGACTTAAAGAGAACGACTGCAGAGAAGGGTCTCCCCTCTCTCCTGGGGCTTGGTTTCTTCTCATTAAGCACACTTTGATCTGGGGAGGACTGCTGCGTGGCTGTCCATTTAATAGAGTTTGGGGTTTATGTGTTTGTTAAAAGCTCACCCGAGACACCACCAGCCATGTCAGCATTGCCCAGGGTTGAGGCTGCCATTTCAATAAGCTCTGTTCGAGGAACAAGAAAAACTGCCCTGCGGTCATGTATCCCAGGGTCGCCTCTCATATGGAAGATGGCAAATGTTCAAGATGGGGCATGGAGGGGCGAGAAGAGAAGGGCCAGTCTTCAGAGTGTATTGATTCCTTGATTTTAACTGTTCTGAGGTATATGCCTTTTCTTCCCAACTCTCCTGAGCTTCAGTGACTCTAGGGCATTCTGTAAATTGACTTCTCAAAATGACTCAATTGTCAGACTTCCCAGGACCTACTGGCATAGGGCACTTAAAGGTTAGGGAAGCCTGGGTGCAGATGAATGCAGAGCATTTTAAGCCTTTGAGGAAGGAGCAGTCCCTCGGGCTGTGTGTCATTATTTGGCTGTCTCAGATTTTCATTACTTTGTTGTGATACTTTTCACACTTTCCTAAGAGCTTTTTGACTCCAAGGGAAACTTTCGTTAGGGTATATGGAGTTTTTCATACATTTTCAAGCACTGCAGGCTGGGGTGATGTTCATATGAGTTTATCAGTCGGCTGGGACCACACTGCAGCGGGCTTGACACTGAACGGTAATGCGAAAGTCATAAACAACACAGCTAGACTGCTGTGCCCAAAAAAGGCTCTGAACAGAACGAACCTTACAAAATCCAATTACTCAGGCTCTGGCAGGAAAGGAAAACCTCTTGAAGTCAGAATAAAATTTCTGGGCAGAGAAAAAGAGGAAGGACTGCCAGGAGGTCTGCTGGCACCCAGTGTGTGGTACAGCCCAGATCGGTGCCACGGTGGGAGCCTGGGCTCGGCTTGGGGATCCCGCCCTACATCTGTCCCTCCACCCTCAAATAAGGCGGCCTTTCCACGGAGGTGGTTCTTATAATTGGACCTGGTATCAGAGGCCTGACATACATTCGCTTTCATCCATTGTGGTTTCTATCATGTAGCCCCACTAAGAACACGCCAGAGTATCTGTGGGGCTGGGTTTCCAGTTTTAATGGGACATTTCGGGTGCCTGTCAGTTTGTGAGGTTGACCATCCATTCTGGCTAGAAATTAATGGCTCTCCCGTATTGGGGTCTTGTAGGCAGAGCCCAGAGCGTTTTAAAGCATCAGGTCTCTACTTCCCCAATAATTAGAAGATGCCATCGACCAACTGTCAGGCACCACCGGGAGGTAAACGACTCTTGGCGATGAATGATCCTGCAGCGAATGTGCTATATCTCTGGCTAAGGGTCGGACGGAAACGACGCGATGGGCAGACCTTCCTCTGGTCTTTGGTCAGCAGTGACTAGCTACTGGGAGGTAATACACCACTCCCAGGATCCGCCTAGAGACCTGTTTTAACAGCTGTAGGCAGAGTTATTAACAAGTCTGGTGAGGACACTTAGCAAATGTCTTAACTGTATTATAAAGTCATAGGAATTACAATTTGATTTTGGAACTGATGTTTCAACGGAAATCTTAGTTTTAGTGCCCAATTCACTGGGTTCAATAAAAGAGATTCCAGATACACTACAGAAAAGGTAATGAGAAACAAAACATGGTGCCTTGCCCTGAGGTGAGGCAGCTAATTAAATCTTGTGTATTTCAGGATGAGCAGTGAGCCCTCATACAACACGGTAGTATTTAACTGAAGTTGGTTGATCGAAGGTCACATTGGACATGACCAAGCTGTGCTAAGTGCTGTTATGCCTAAACCAAACTTGAATCCTGCACAGGCGGCCCAGGTCTTAGAATTTAGGAGCCATTAGGTCAGATATCCCCACTGTTCTATTAAAAGACCATAAAAGCAGGGCAGGAACAAGGGGCAATGGAGGTGTCCTGCCAATCTGGCCACTCATCACTGCCTGATTGGCAGGAGGTATGGAGGGTACAAGCCAGGAGTTGGGTGGTTTTAGCCAAACCACAGGGAAGGGTTGTCTTGGGACCAAGTGCCAGCAAACATCTTTCGGAACAGACACAGAGTGAAGTCCAAAAAGTGGCAGTCTAGGAAACCTGCCTCAGAGTCTGTTTCCATGAGTACTGGGGGGTCCAGCCATACTTCTAAGGTGAGGAGTTCTGGGAAGAAGCCTGTTGATCCGGAAGAAGGTGACGCCCAGTCACCAAAGGTGAAACCGGCGGCCAGGTGGGGGGCCTGCCCTGGTTTTGCTCCTGTCTGTGTGACCTGCAAGCTACAGAACCACTCGACGTCCCAGTTCCCAAGTAGAATCTTTTTCCTATGTTGTTTGGGAGGCGTAAGTTAAATAATCCACATAAAGTGCTTATAAAAGTATGTGACCTTTAGAGCACTCTTAATAAATGTTAGCTATTCTGCTGATCATTACTGCAGTGGAAATACAAAGTGTCTGATTCTGGAATAAATAGAACCATCTAGACAGGCAGTGTGGACAGTGGACTTCGAGTGGAAAGAGGCTGGAAGGAGTAAGGACACCTGGGTTCTGGGTGGACAGGCCACTGAAGCTCTCCAGGTGTCTTTTGCGATCGTGAAACAGGGGAGCTGGGACTTTTCCAGAGCCCTGTGAAGGATTTTATGGGGTGCCGGGGGGTGGAGAAAGATGTCCTTTGCAAAGACATTTGTAAAATTTAAAATTTTTCTGTAATAAAGGCCTTGTTGGAGTTGAGGAGGAGCTCATAAAGTGGATTTCCAAGACGGGGTCGTAGTGTACAGCCCTTCTCGGTTTGCTTGATTATAAATGTTGGTTCTTTGGGGTGGTACCAAGAGCCTCTCCAGGAGAGACCCAACTTGGGACAGAGTTGGGGTTCTCTCAGGTGAACTCTGTGGTTTACATAAGTTCATTTCCCCCATCTTTGCTCGTACTTATCATTCTCCTCAATAACAGTTGTCTACCTTCTAACTTCTTTGCTCATGTAGCATTCAAGATGTTCCCATGTCTAATATTTCCCATGGCTCAGGGTTTGGGCTGAGAGGGCATGGCTGTAGCAGCCACATTGTGTAAGGCAGCAAACAGGACACCTTACCAATGGTCTCCATTGTGTCTCTCTCTTCAATCAAAAGCTGAGCCCTGGGTATGTCAATGTGCATCCTCAGGGTTTGCTGTTGCTTGCTCAACGTGTCTGAAGTCCGGGTATTCTTACTGGGAATAAAAAAGAGGAATGCATTAACAAATTCAGTTCAGTGTTACCCTAGGCCAACATGTGCTTGTACACCAACTTATTATCTAATTATGTGGGGAGGGGAGGGGAAGACACACCAGATAGATTTCTTTTCCTTCATTCAAATGATATTTATTAATATTAAATTTCAGCAGTCAGTTGTGAGGTTCAGAAAATACCAACTGTCAGTAAAGATTGGTTCTGAATCTATCAATAGAAACTTTGGACTTTCCTATTTCTTGTATAAAAGCTGAATGAAACACACACACACAAAAACATTCTTAAATCAACAACATTTTCACTTGTCAGACATGAGATATTCCAATGATGGTAAGGGAGAAAACATGTGTACTGGTCATTCACTGGATGGGGTTTTACTAACAGATTTGTATTATACCTGGAGTCATTTTATTTTTGTTCTAGTAACAAATCATAAACCTTGTTAGCTTCCCTGACATTAGTTTAGTTTTCCGAACCCAATTACATTTTAGAATAGAAAAAAAGCAATTACTATAAGAATTTATCTCAAAATTTGTGTACCAGAAAATTACTCTTAGAGTGAGCTGTCTCTTAAAAGTAAATGGAAATAGGTAGTAAAACTGCGTGGTATAATCAAATTCAGTTACAGCTCACAACAAAAAAAAAAAAAAAAAAAAAAAAAAATCTGTATGTTGGACAAAAATACAAAAAAGTCGATAAAAGCTTTAATTAGCAAATGCACGTTAGAAAAATGGTTGTTCAATCTTTACAGAATTATAAGAATTGAGTAGATTTAAGAATATTTAATATTTAAGAATATTTTCTGAAACACCTTCCAGGAAGCAGCAGGCATTCAGATAATTTAATCAATGTGATAATCTATGGCATCCTTAAATCTAGCTCATTAGCTGCCAAAGTCTGTTTTGAGAAAGATTTGTGGAGCCTGGCACCCTCAGTGTTAATTATATGTAACGGAGAACAATAAAGGTGTATCCATACTAAAATCTCAAATGCCTTTTGCCCCAAGCAAGCATTCACCAGGAAGCTCAGAGTTTCCTCATCCATGAGGATGCATCCACTCTTGAACCATGTGGTTGATGAGTGTTGATAATCTGAAGGTCAAGTTCACTCAAGAAGCTGTTTAAATGTTTGCACTCAGAGGTCCATGTTAATATTCTGAGTATTTTACAATGGCTCTCTCTTGAGTGTAAACAAAACAGCTCACGGAAATGGCAGATTTTGAAAAGTGCAGCAGCTCTACCTAGGCCTTGATCTTGAACCAGATTTCTTGCTCTGCAGATGAGTAACTGGGTTATGTAGCTAGACCATGCTAATTACGCAGAGCCCAAATTCAAACGTTTTGGCCTGAATTTTTTACATGGTCTATAAATGTTTTTAAATTATTTACTTAACCAAGTTCTTACTTTATTTGTGTGTGTGTGTGTGTGTGTGTGTGTGTGTGTGTTTAAAGCAAAGATTCAGATCCTTGCATAAAATGAAGAGCGTTGGTGGCCTGGGGAGCTGCAGTTACGTCAGACAGGCTCTATTTCCACAAAAACATATGGGGAACTACTCCTCTGTGAATATCTGAAAGATCTGTTTTGAAACTTCACTAGGGACCCGAGTTTGTCCTTGCATCAAAAATAGAAGCGTGAGCTAGTTCCCTCTGCTCATCATGAATAGTTATGAGGCAGAGCCCACAGCTGCTCAATGAACAGCGAGGAACCCTGCGCAGCTATACTTAACAGCAAGGGGTCTGCTGTCAGGCTGACACAGGAAGCAAGTGACATCACTGCTGTGCTCCATGGCGATTGACACAAAGACTTAGAATATGATTAAACTTTGTGAACAGGGACAATCAAAGCTGGAGGTAAACGCCCCTCCTCACAGGACTAAGCTGGAAGCCCTGCAGCTGGAAGGCAAGAACGTTGCCCCACAAACCTTGAGATTCAGGGGTTTATTTTTTTTCCCTCTCTTTGCACTTGCTGTTTCCTTTGCTTAGGACACGCTCCCCCAACGCAGTGCTCCTGTGGCTGCCCCCTCCCCTCTATCTTTTCAGAGGAGCCAGTGGAGTCCTGCTGTGGGAACTCCCCATTCTCCATTTAATCTGGTCTCCTCAAAACTTAAAACTCCCTGGCATATGTTTAAGTGAGTTATTTATTAGCCGTCTCTGCCAATGGACTATAAGCTCCTCAAAGGATATTTTCATCTCTTCTGTCCCCTGTATACCCTGAAACTTGGAACGGTATATAACCAAAGTAGGTGCTCAATTAATATTTGTTGCAGGTTGTTGAATGAATAATGTTTGGGCACAGTGGGAGCTGAGTCACACCTCCTAGAGCCTTTGCTTTGGGGGCAGTAACACTTGTCTCAATCTAAAAGGGTTATCAGGGCCCAAGGAAATTGTTTCTTTATCTTAATCTGTGCTGCCGTATTTTATAATCTATTGTTACATGGAAGTTGATTCCCCCAAACTGTAATAATTGGCCATTAGAACAGCAGCAAACCTTCAAAAAAAAAAAAAAAAAGAAAAAAGCTATTTAAAGAAACCTCATTTGTAACCTGGACAAAGATTCTGAATGTTTTCACTGTGGAGGAAAAATCGCATCTTTTATATGATATGGGATCATGCTTACTCCCCATTCTCCATTTAATCTGGTCTCCTCAAAACTTAAAACTCCCTGGCATATGTTTAAGTGAGTTATTTATTAGCCGTCTCTGCCAATGGACTATAAGCTCCTCAAAGGATATTTTCATCTCTTCTGTCCCCTGTATACCCTGAAACTTGGAACGGTATATAACCAAAGTAGGTGCTCAATTAATATTTGTTGCAGGTTGTTGAATGAATAATGTTTGGGCACAGTGGGAGCTGAGTCACACCTCCTAGAGCCTTTGCTTTGGGGGCAGTAACACTTGTCTCAATCTAAAAGGGTTATCAGGGCCCAAGGAAATTGTTTCTTTATCTTAATCTGTGCTGCCGTATTTTATAATCTATTGTTACATGGAAGTTGATTCCCCCAAACTGTAATAATTGGCCATTAGAACAGCAGCAAAACCTTAAAAAAAAAAAAAAAAAGAAAAAAGCTATTTAAAGAAACCTCATTTGTAACCTGGACAAAGATTCTGAATGTTTTCACTGTGGAGGAAAAATCGCATCTTTTATATGATATGGGATCATGCTTAATATATTAGTTATTATTGAAATATAATCATCCACCATCCATTTGCCATCTGGTTGTCTGATTAAAATGACAGAGAGCTGACCCTGGTTCACAGTGGATGGTGTTTCTGGGCTCAGCCAATAAATTATGTGCAGTTGCTACAACACTTTAAAATCAATATTTCCCTAAGATTTGGGGGAAAAAATCCCCAAACTAATGACGATTTCTACATACCATCCCCCTTCCTCCCCAAAATGTAATACGAAGCATCCTGCAAGTACAAAATCACTGTAAGGATATCAGGATATGTCTCGTTGTAACAGTTGGGTGGGCATTTTTCTTTTTTACTATGTGTATAAAAATATAAACATCCAAAAGCTAAATTAACTTGATCTCTCAGTTTGAACCCTTCACTGCTCACAACTAGCTTCCTTACCAATAGTGGTCCTTGCACATTAACCACGTGTCGCTTAGTACGTTACAGGAAGCCGGTCTCACCTCTGAGAAGTCTGGTGTATTTAAAAAAAAATGTTTTCTTGCCTAATCGTATAAAAGGAAAACCCTTTCTATCTGAGCATGGTGGATGAAGTCTATCTTCTCTCTCCTCTACGAGGTGACTTGCTTGGGTGAGATGGATGAGTGTCCCGAAGCATGAGGCCCAGCGATGGGAGTGGCAGCCTGTGGGGGACCCCCGGGGCGGGGGCTCCAGGTTGTCTGTGTTTGTCCTGCAGTTTCACCTGCCCGTCTGGCCCCGGGACAGCTAATCTCACCGAAATACACAGATCTTTCCTTGAGGAGCTTGGGTGGACAATAAATGTTACATTCACCTAGATCATGGGGTGATAAAGCTAGGAGCAATTTCCAATTGCTGTTTTTAAATAAGGAAAACAGGGCACAAGGAGAGAAAAGGATGTACAGTAAGTCTCCTACATATGAACCTTCAAGTTGCGAACTTTCAAAGATGTGAACGTGAGCGCCGTCAACGTCAGGCGTGAGTGACATTGCAGCTTGCCCTCCGTCTCCTGTTGCTGACGACCCTTCCGCTCTACCATCTCCCACCTCCTCTCCCTCCTCCAGCCAGTAACTCTTCTTTCCTGTTCACTCGATGCCAGCCCCTGGATGCCAGCTGTTGAACTGTACTACTGCATTTTTCAAGGTATTGTAAGATTAAAAACGTTTTCTTTATTTTTTGTGTTTGTTTTTGTGTATTATTTGTGTGAAAAGTATCATAAACCTTTTACAGTACAGTACTATATAGCTGATGGTGTTAGTTGGGTCCCTAGGCTAACTTTGCTGGACTTACAAACAAACTGGAGTTACAAACGTGCTCTCGGAACGGAACTCGTTCGTATGTCGGGGACTTTACTGTACCCCGAAATCACAAAGCCGGCCGGTGGCAGTATTAGGCCTAGAATATAAGTTCATGATTCTATGTCCCAGCCTGCTCAGTCCTCACCTTCCCAGAGAAACCAGTGACCAAGATCAGGAACAGCAGTTCTGTAAGGCTTCTCTGTACCGAAGGGTCTGACTTACCTAGACTTCCTGGGCTACATTTGGAATATGCTTGGCCCTAACCTACCAGCTAGGGGACAAGGTTTTTTGTTGCTTGGCCTGTTAACCTGCCAAACTTAGATCGAATTGACCCTTCATGAATAAAAACATTGCTTTCTCTTCTAAATTAACCCCATAAAAATTCACCTATTTGAGGAGCTTGGAAGTTCTCTTCCTTTTCAATCACTTCCATCCTTTGGAGAAAAACACCTTAAACACCTTAAGTGGGAGTAATTACTAGTTTTAATGTTCCTAATTTCATGCTGGCGACTGCAAATATCATTACTGATTCCTGCTCTTATCAATAGGTGGTCTTTCATCGCGGTAACTGCCCTATTAACAAAGAAGGAAGAAGACACTTTCTGATGTCTTGCCTGGGGTTCATGACAAGAGGGAGGGAAGGCAGCAGAGAAGCTAATACCACATCACCCTAACGAAACAAATGTTGAACATGTCAGGAAACATGGACTCCGGTGTCACAGGCTTTGGGTAGAGGCATGATTGATGATACGGGAGTGCATGAAGGAAGTGGCCAGAAGCTATCTGGGAGGACACGCAGCTGCAGGAACCAGGCTGGGGTACAAATCAGGGAGATGGACCTGGGTGGACACAGGAACGGGGGCCCCTGGGCTGAGCAGGTTACACCCAGTCTAAATGGGGCATCGAGTGCAGGTCCAGATACCCGTGATTGTCGAGGCTGTGCCCCGTGTGGCAGAACACTTGTAGGAGAAGTCAGAAAGCCATAGTTTTATGTGAAATGTCTTGATTTTTAAAGGACATCAACAATTTCATATTTTTAAGACTACATTAGAAAATTTACTTTATTAGATAGATAATTATTATAAATTGAATGACTCTGGCTTATTTGCGTTCCAGATATTTTTGTCAGATTTGTTCAATACAAGCGCACATGTGTCTGGATGCCTTCTATGTGACCACTAGCAAACAAGTACAGACTTGCAAAAGAGCATGGACTCAAGGCATTTCATAATCTTCTCATGTACGTTTAATCTAGTGTGACGGGATTAGATAGATGGAGACATTTTACAGACCATTTGCATCTCTGAGCTCTACTCTGGGCTCCAGATTCCTGCTACCAGCTATCTGACACCTTCATTGGAGGCTTAAAAAGCATCCCCAACATGACCCTTACAAGCCTTTTTTTTTTTTGAGGTATGTGGGCCTCTCACTGTTGTGGCCTCTCCCGTTGCGGAGCACAGGCTCCGGACGCGCAGGCTCAGCGTCCATGGCTCACGGGCCCAGCCGCTCCGCAGCATGTGGGATCTTCCCGGACCGGGGCACGAACCCGCGTCCCCTGCATCGCAGGCAGGCTCTCAACCACTGCGCCCCCAGGGAAGCCCCCTTACAAGCCTTTTCTTTCTGATCCACATCCCCTTCCTCTGCCCTACAAAAAAAAAAAGTCCATACCCTGCATCTATCTTCCTAATCTCCGCAAATGGCACCAATGTTTATCTAATTGCTCACACCAAATATTTCAGAGTCATTCTTGATTCCTTCATATCTGTTACCAACAATTCACACTGTTTTAAAACACAGTGTGGACAAACAAAGACATCTGTGGGAAATGTAATCCATGAGCCAACGGTATTCAACCTCTGTCTTAGGTCTTCACACATACTGGTGATATGGGAGAGGACTCTTTGTGAATAACAATAAAGTACTACTCTGATATGCAAAGGTGAGGGAGGAAGTTAAAGCCAACTGTGGTGCTGTAGGGGATGGGAAGAGACCCTATACTCCATCTCTTTTACCTCCTACGTTAGTCATCCTAAAATGACAACGTCAAGGTCACCATCAGGGTCCCTGACATTTTTCTTTTTGGCCACGCCTTGCGGCTTGCGGGATCTTAGCTCCCCAACCAGGGATCCAACCCCAGGCCTTGGCAGTGAAAGCGCTGAGTCCTAACCACTGGACAGCCAGGAAATTCCCTGACATTTTTCTTATCTGGTTCCTAGACTCTGGTTATCCTCTTTTTACTTTTGGTTTAATCATTACAATATAAAGTGCAAAGGTTGGGGTGTCTTGTACAGTTGTGAACATGCAGTTACTTATTCTATTACCCTTGGTCATTCATCTACTCAACAGTTATGAGTGGGGCAACTATAGTGCTGGTTTCTCCTAACGTGGTGATGAAATAGGCTGTGACTTCCAAGACCAGACTGAATAGATATTTGCAGCAGAAGGTGGTGGGTGCTCTGGTGGAGGGGTGCTAAAGGGGCAGTGGGAGCTGAAGGAAAGGAGAATCTTCCTTGATCAGGCCATCAATTTTGAACCCATCCCCTTTCATGGATTCCCTTTCACCTGGCTAACTGTTAGGAAGAAAGCTTGACCTCAAAGTGGCAAATTTGGTGAAAGCAAAACCAAAGCTACTTACTTAAAATGTGCCTCATTATTCTCAGGTTAATGGGAAATGTCCTATTGGTTGAGTCCAGCCAACAAGAAAACTACCTATGGTGTGCAGAACTGCGTATTATTTGGTATCTATGTCTCTAACCAAGCATTACATGGATATTTAGCTTCCTAGAATGAAAATTATTGTGGCCTCTCCCGTTGCGGAGCACAGGCTCCGGACGCGCAGGCTCAGCGTCCATGGCTCACGGGCCCAGCCGCTCCGCAGCATGTGGGATCTTCCCGGACCGGGGCACGAACCCGCGTCCCCTGCATCGCAGGCAGGCTCTCAACCACTGCGCCCCCAGGGAAGCCCCCTTACAAGCCTTTTCTTTCTGATCCACATCCCCTTCCTCTGCCCTACAAAAAAAAAAAGTCCATACCCTGCATCTATCTTCCTAATCTCCGCAAATGGCACCAATGTTTATCTAATTGCTCACACCAAATATTTCAGAGTCATTCTTGATTCCTTCATATCTGTTACCAACAATTCACACTGTTTTAAAACACAGTGTGGACAAACAAAGACATCTGTGGGAAATGTAATCCATGAGCCAACGGTATTCAACCTCTGTCTTAGGTCTTCACACATACTGGTGATATGGGAGAGGACTCTTTGTGAATAACAATAAAGTACTACTCTGATATGCAAAGGTGAGGGAGGAAGTTAAAGCCAACTGTGGTGCTGTAGGGGATGGGAAGAGACCCTATACTCCATCTCTTTTACCTCCTACGTTAGTCATCCTAAAATGACAACGTCAAGGTCACCATCAGGGTCCCTGACATTTTTCTTTTTGGCCACGCCTTGCGGCTTGCGGGATCTTAGCTCCCCAACCAGGGATCCAACCCCAGGCCTTGGCAGTGAAAGCGCTGAGTCCTAACCACTGGACAGCCAGGAAATTCCCTGACATTTTTCTTATCTGGTTCCTAGACTCTGGTTATCCTCTTTTTACTTTTGGTTTAATCATTACAATATAAAGTGCAAAGGTTGGGGTGTCTTGTACAGTTGTGAACATGCAGTTACTTATTCTATTACCCTTGGTCATTCATCTACTCAACAGTTATGAGTGGGGCAACTATAGTGCTGGTTTCTCCTAACGTGGTGATGAAATAGGCTGTGACTTCCAAGACCAGACTGAATAGATATTTGCAGCAGAAGGTGGTGGGTGCTCTGGTGGAGGGGTGCTAAAGGGGCAGTGGGAGCTGAAGGAAAGGAGAATCTTCCTTGATCAGGCCATCAATTTTGAACCCATCCCCTTTCATGGATTCCCTTTCACCTGGCTAACTGTTAGGAAGAAAGCTTGACCTCAAAGTGGCAAATTTGGTGAAAGCAAAACCAAAGCTACTTACTTAAAATGTGCCTCATTATTCTCAGGTTAATGGGAAATGTCCTATTGGTTGAGTCCAGCCAACAAGAAAACTACCTATGGTGTGCAGAACTGCGTATTATTTGGTATCTATGTCTCTAACCAAGCATTACATGGATATTTAGCTTCCTAGAATGAAAATTATATGTCAAGTGAAAAATGGGTTCTCAATTTCAGACTGTCATTAAAAAAAAGAAGTCATCAAAGCAAGTTCTTTTAAACATGATATTTGGGCTGCTAGGTCTTGTTCTTACCTCATGAGCATTTCAGCTAAACTCTTTGCATCTGGGGAAAGAAAGCTGATATTAGTATAAGATAAACAACTCATTAACATTCACTCAAGCATTTGTGACAAATATTCTACAGAATCAGATGACAATAACCATTTTTAAATGTAATTGTATATCGAAATCATTGCTAATAACCTAAACTTTTATGGATTCCTTGTCTGTTGTAAATGAGACACACACACACACACACACACACACACACACACACATACATATATATGTATACACATATATGCATAAAGGTAGCATAAAAAGATAGGTACAAAAATATTCAGATACCTGCTAAAGGTCATATTACAACCTATTCATTTGCCACTTTCCAAAAACCCAATTTTACTTTCAGAAGTCAGAAAATTAACACCTTGAAAGTAATTCATTATGTAGTACAAATTCTATTCTTTTTGTTATCAAAATGAAAAAGCTTATGATCACTTAAAAAAGTCATTATTACAGAGCTACGCATCCCTTTGGTTGATCAAAGAATCATATAAACAGCTTATCACTGTGTCTGGAAACTCAGATGTTTATTTCAAACACAGAAAGAAAGCTTTTCTTTCTTTCTTTTCTCTGAAGACATTATTTACCAAGATCTGGTTACCATCCCTGACAAAAGAAATCCTGCCTAAAAATGATGTAATTTTTTTTAACCTTTTTGATGGCATTGGTTTGAAATTCTAATTTCCCTTAAAATATAATTTGTTCTTATTACACATTTTACCTGACAAAAACGAATGTTTCCTTTCTTAGAACACAAAGCCCTTCTTTATGATTTCCTTTCATTGCTCTCTAAAAAGCCTTGATGTTAAGTGTTCAATGAACAGAATTTTCTGGAAATGGATTCAGCTGTCTGTGTGAGTGCCAGTGAAGCAATGCATTTGTTGGAGCATTTTCATCTTTGGGGGCTAACAACTGAATGCAGTCGCTTTTATTTCAGGGAGCAGAGCGCTGTAATTGGGAGGTGTGGACTGTCACGGGAAGAGCCACACGTGGGCAGGCACCCCATGAACCAAAGCTCAGCTTTTCAAGTCAGCCATGCCAGTTCCCACCTCGCAGCGAGGCCCCGGCTTTGCGCACAGATGGGTTCTGTCTGGGAAATGAAATAGCTCCCTTTATCCCACCCACATGGCAAAGCAAAGAAAGCAAAACAGCATCTAATTTCTCAGCTCATGGCTTTATATTTATCTGCAAAGACAAAGTAAATATGATGAGTTTCATCTCTTCCTGAATGATTTAACACTTACAAAGTAAATATACATATACACATATATAAAATGCCAGAAGCTTGGGATTAATTAGTTCTATGTAACAACCAAGCACTGGCTAGTTCAATACTCTAAAAAAGAGGAAAAATTTCCAAAGAGTAAAACACCGTATTTCAGCTCACAACCTGAAGGAAACTCCTACTCAAACATCTTCAGAATGGACCTGTGTTCCTTGTTCTGCCACAATCATCGTTCTTTTTCTATTTCTGAAGTTAGTCATCACAGTTTTCTCTTCTATGATTTTTTTTTCTATCAATGCACCAAGGGATGGCAGCATCCAATGAGTGAGGACAGAGGTCCCTCCAGTACTGACGTGCTCTAACTGCAAATTTTCCACGTCTACAATTAGCAGGCATCTTCATCCACATATTTAGGTGCCCAAAGCCATTTTGGTCTACGCTTCCCTATGCTTATCATCTTACAGTGGATCCCTTTCTCTTTCTGTCTTAGCTACTATTTCCTCCTTCTGACTCATCTTAAATTGTGAGAAACATTATATTCATGGAAACTCACTTCTTCTGTGAGTTTCCCTTTGAGGAAGCTGAGAGCTGGTGGAGTTTTAAGCACAGTGATGGGGTCTGGATAGCACAGTTGGCATCATGGACTAGGCGTGAATGTCTTCTGGGGAGTGGGACCGAGTGGATTGCGGTCACAATTAAGCACATGCTAGGAATCTGGATTGCACCAGTTACTTTAGGACTGCTTGCCCATGTCCCCTTAATATCAGTCTGTGCCTGGGAATTACTGTGCCCTCCTTCGGAAACCAGGAAACTGGGATCCGGATACATTCAGTCGTTTGTTGCAGCTGAGCAGGAAATCATAACCAATGTCTGTTGGTTCAAACTCTTTTTAACCACTGTCCTCAAAGTCCTTTATACATAGAGGGGGATACATGTCGTATCCTTAGGAACACATACAAGAGCAGACGTCTCATGCCAGCTGACTGAGGACACACCCTAGAGGGCGCTGTGTCAGGCCGGGTGAGTCAGAAAGGATGGAAGACTGTGCCCACCTTAAAGGAAGTGTGGACTTTAATGGGAAGAGTGCTCCAGGGCACAGAATTAACTTGTGTTGGAATTCTGAGCTTATTCAGGAAGCAAGGAGTCGGTCAGTTTGACTACAGAGAGAAGTTTCTAGGGGTGGTGGGGAATGCGGATGGTCAAGATGGTCAGGAGCTAAGAAAATGCAACTTTGCATCACGGACCATAATCTGGAAGCTTTTGCCTGGGCCAAGCAAGGGGGGAAGTGGAGGAAGGAGGGCAGAGGTGGTGGCCAGTGGGTACAGGTGCCATAAACAGCATTAATCAGACAATGCAGAGTGCCCAGGATGGGGGGTTGGGGGCAGGGGCCTGGTGGTGGGGAGTGAATGACATGATAGTAGACAGAGGGCATCTACAAGAATCAGGGACCTACTGCGTGTGGAGAGACAGGCAGAGGGACCGTGGGGAGTCCAGGGAAATGGCAAGATTTGGGATATGCAGGGCTGGGTATATGGTAACACAAGGGACAGAAACAGTTGTCTAGAAGGACTTGGAAGCAGCAATTTGGCTGCAGGCTGAGATGTTTGGCTTCAAACATATTGAGTCCTTTGACAGATTAACGTTAAGTTGGGGGACAGATTTGGAATCCAGTGTCCAGCTGGGAGGTATGTCAGGGCTGAGATGGGCTCAGAGTCTTCTGTTTATACAGGGAGAGGGGAAAGAGAGATGGAATTTTGGACACACTTCTGTTCAGGGGTGAGAAGGGAATCTGGGACAAGTTAAGATAATATATTTTAAGTCATGGAATCATGGTATCTTAAGAGCATTACAGACTTTTCAAATCAGCCTCATAATAAATGTCTGAATCCCTTCCACAGTGCCTTGGACAGATGTTAAAATGAGCCAAGCCGCTGGATGTTCCAGGGATGGAGTGATGCCCTTGCTGCACGTATGGTGCCGACCTCTCTTCCCACTGCTGACCTGCCTTCCAAGTCTGTTGATGGCTCCCCACTCAACACATCTCCCTGGGACTCTGGCTCTTTTCTCTCTCCTCAGTTCAATTCTCATTTCCTCGTCAGCAGCTCCTTCTCTGGTCTCCCTAGCTCCAGACTCTCAGCCCTCTAAGTGACATCCCCACTGCAGGAAGGATGGATCTGAAACACAGCCCTCACTGGGTTGCATCTGTGCTCTAAAACTCTCAAAGGAACCTCCCTACCAACAGGAATCTTCAGCTCAGGGTACCAGCCACCCATGCTGGCCCCAGCGGTCTTTCCAGCTCAGTTGCCTCTTACTTCGGACTGCCAACCCTGTCTCTGAGTTTCCTGCCCTTGCATTTTCTGCCGAGACCCCTGTGACTTTGTTCCTCTGAGGCCCTTGGAGATGGTGCTTTGTCCCCACCCCTCCAGACAGAGGTGACTTGCTCTGTACACCCTCCCAAGCCCAGCAGGTGAAGCTGGTGTTCTGCTTCCCTGGGCTTCCAAGGACATCTGCACCCGTCTAACCTCTCCGTATCTGTTCAGCACAGCCTTTGCACCTTTCATTGTAACTTCCTGTTTGCATATTGTCTCTCTATTGGCCCTTTTGCCCTTATCTCCAGGCTCAGCCCAGTCACTGGAACAGTAAAGCCACATACAGTTTTTCCTGAGGATACAATTAATCACGAGAGACACCTTCCTTTTCTCGTGTTGAAATCCCTTGGTGTAATTTCTATCTGGATATAACAATGGCACCTTCTGGAAACGTTGAAAAAACCATTCGAATATTTCCAGGTAGCTGCCACACCCCAAGTAGCTCGGCTTCAGTGTTGTCTTTTCTAGGTTGAATTCTCTAATTTTCTTGACCACTCCTCAGGTGGCATAATTTCTAGGTAATTCCTTACTTGGGTCTCTCTTTTATGAAAGACATTTCCCCCTTCCTTCCTTCCCTCCCTCCTTCCTTCCTTCCTTCCTCCCTCCCTCCCTTCCTTCTTTCCCTCCTTCCTTCCTTCCCCTTCCTTCCTTCCTTTCTTCCCTTCCTCTCTCCTTCCCTCTTTTTTCCCTCCCTTCCACCCCCCTTCCTTTCTTTTAATCCCCCTCCCCCTTCCTCTCTCCCTTTCTTCCTTTTTAATAATTCTTGTTCCACATTTTCTGGTCTGAATAGTTCTCCTCTTGGTTCACATCAAAGTAAAACAGATGTTGAGTCCTTCTGCTACCTGCCATCTGTTAAGATGAGAACATCATCTCAAGTCATCATCTTCTTCTTGCCCAACACAGCTCAACAGCCTTTTGTGTTGTCTGTCACTTTTTTCCACCAATTTCAGCTCAGTCTGAGATTTAGACTTTGTGACACCTTTCCTGAAGCCCCGGCTACTCCTCCGTGCCCATCCTGGGCTTTGTGCTCAGCTCTTCACCTTGCGGGTGGGGAGATGATGGAGAAATACTACCAGGGTAGCCTAGTGATATGGAAAGATGGAAAAAAGCAGGTTCAAAAAAATAACATGTGCTAACACTGTGAATGTGCAAAGAGGGCTAGAAGATGACAATGAAAGGAGACTTTGGGGATCAGAAGGTAATTGCTCACCTGCCTTGAGTAGAGCACTTTCATTTGAGTGGTGGGGAGAGCAGTGAGACTGAGGATTTGGGAGCTGGTGAGACTCAGTGTAAATAGTTGAGTATCAAAGACTCTTTCAAGAATTCAGTGGGGAAAAGAAATGGAAAGGAGGGCAGCAGATTAGAAGATAGGCAGACAAGAAGGAATCCTTTTTTTTTAAATAT